TCGGTGTGGCGGCGAAAGAAGAAAGGACTCGCAAGGGGGCTTCTTTCCCCCCCCTTCCTCCCCTCGTTTCTTTCTTTCCTTCAAGGGGGGGGGGGGAGTCTATGGAGGGGGAGAAGCGACCGGGCCTGGAAAGGGGGGGGCGTGTGTTGCGGCGGCGGCGTCAGTCGCTCCCCATTCGCACGTGCGCCTTCCCCCGCGCCATTAAGAAACAAGGCGCGCGCCGGGGAGGCTCTGGGCCACTGCACTGGCTGGCGCCGAGGAAGGAGCCCGGGCAAGAGCGAGCCGAGCTCCCTGCCAGCGATATCCACGCCCGAGCCGAGCTGGGCAAAAGAGGAGGGGGCGGGCTGCCGGGGCTCGCGGCTCTGCCTCGCGCTGGTGAAACCGACTGTGTGTGTGAGTGCGCGCGCGTCGATCCGTGGTGTTTCTAACGGTCTCCTTTCAAGCCGTGGGGTGGAAGAGTGGCAGCGGCGGCAGCTCTGAGCGGCCGCTGAAAACAGGCCTGGCCCCAGGCGCTTTCCCTAGCTGAGGAAGCCGGCGAGGGGGTCTTCGGGCGCGTGAGGGGTGGAAAGGGCGGGCTACCGTCCCGTGGGGATTTTTGAATGCCGCTGGCCTCCCCTTTCTCTGTTTCCTCTCCTTCCTTCCTCTTTCTCTCACTTTTCCTTTTCCTATCTGTTTTCTCTCTATCACTGTCTCCCTCCCTCCCTTCCCTTTTTGTTTTTCTTTCTTTCGCTGTCTTTTCTCTCTCCTCCCTCCCCTTCTCTCACTTTCTTCCCCCTTTCCTGTTTTCTCTCTTTCTCCTCTCTTTAATCCCTTTGTCTGTTTTCCCCCCTTTCTCTCTCCGCTTCCCAAACTTTCTTCTCTTTTCTCCCCCGCCCCGCCCCGCCCTGCCCTGCCCTTCCCTCTCCGCTTTCCATGCGGCCCCCCCCATGCCCTGGGCTGCGCTCCCCTCCCACGGCCGCCCCCTCCTGAGCATCTGCGCTTCGTCAGCCCGGGAGAGCTGTGGACCTCCTCTCCCGGCGGTCGGCTGAGCCGGAGTACAGCAGGCTCAGGCGTGCGCCCCAGGGGACTTTCCACCAGGCTCCTTTCTCCTCCTCTCCAAGCTGGGGTAGGGGCGGGCTGCCCCCTCTCCTCCCGCTCACAAGTGCTTTGCCAATCCCTCTCGGAGACGCAGATCTCCCAGCGCTGCTGCCGCTGCCCGCCCACGAGGCCGGCCCTTCGGCTCCGGCGTCTCTCGTTTGCAAGCGGACACAGCTGGGCAAGCCACTGGGCCTTGGAGCCCCTGCGTCGACATCGTCGTCCCCCCCCCGCGGTTGCTCCGAGCTGGAGGAAGCTGGATTTGCTTGGAGGCGCTGCCTGCCCCAGCAGTTTTCCAAGTAAGTTTTGCAAAGTTTGGATCGCGTAGTTTGGATTGACAGGCACTCCTAAACATGGGAAACCTCCTTCCCTCCCCCCCCCTGTGTGCATCAAACTGGAGCGCGCCCATCCCCTCCTGAAGTGCAGGGAAGAGATGTGCGGTAGGGCTGCAGGGATGTGTCAAAACAAATGGCAAGAATGCCCCTTGGCAACTACGGGAGATGCCTGAAGCTCCACTGGATATAACAGGAACCAAGAATGCCAATTAACTTTCATGGGCTCCATAGAAAATTCTGTACTGCAGAAGGTAGCCTCGCCTAGTGTGCAAACAAGCCTGGCATCAGCCCTGCCTGTCAGCCTTCCCTTATTTTAAAATGCCTCGCCCTCTTTCTCTAGTTTTGCATTATGCAGCCATGGACTTTCATCCAGAACAAAACATGTGCCTGTGAGAAGAATGGGGGGACAGGCCTGTAACTTGAGTGCAGGGGGGAACTCAGCTGGGGTCCAGAAAGACAAGCAGGCAAGAAGACTCTGTTTAATTAAGGAAGCTGCTGACAGCCTGCAAGCCCTGGACTGACGATAAGCAATGCTCCCTCTAAGCTGCGAAGTCCTGTGAGCAAAAATTCTCCTTTGTTAGCTACTGGCATTAAAGCTGTGAGCAGGTGATTTGGCTGCTGCATAAATTAGTGTGCTCTGGAGCCCTCCTGCCTGAGCTAAGACAAAAAGCTGTGAGCCAGAGGCTAAAAAACTGTGACCTAACTCAGACTATCTCAGCTTAGAGGGAACACTGACAATACAGACATCAGAAGAGCCCTGCTGGATCAGACTAGTGAGGGTCTGTCTAGTCCAGCATAATTTCTCACACAGTGGCCAACCAGTTCACCTGGAGGTCCAATAACAGGGCAGAGAGGCCAAGGTTTTGGCAGGTCACTGCATGGTGTGGCTCTCTGACTCTCACAGTTTAAAATTTTGGCTCTTTTTGTCGAACTTGTTCGCCACCCCTGTTTTATAGGATAAAGTAGGTAAAAGATCAGGGTGTAGAATTTCAAAGAGAGTTCCCAAACACAGTTCTCTCTCTAACCTCTGTTCAGAATACATTCTACTTTCCAAAAATAAAGACAAACCATGGCCCCGGTCACACAGGCCAGATAACGCGGGGGGGGGAGGCATGGCTCTTTGTGCCGATGCAATTAGACCCGCCAGAACATGATCAGATGTGACAGTGGCACACCGCGGTTTCATCCATCAGCGCATGTGCGTCAAGGAGGACAGCCAGGGGAAAGCCGCACGCTGGCGCGATCACACAGAACGATTCCGTCGGCAGCCCGTGGCAAACCATTTGCTAGTACATTTGTTGAGATACTTTTTAACCGTGCAGCTTCGGCGGCATGCCACGGGTGCGCTATGCTTGCCAGATGTTGCGGTGTGATCGCACCCTGAAAATTCGCCCGGCATTCATGGCTCTCCCACAGCAAATTTGGCATGTGAATGGGGCCCATGAAACTCTTTCCTGAGAGATAATGTGCCATCAGCCCTTGACTAAGATGATATTGCTAAGGAAATAGAGGGCCCTTTCTGCACCTGTATTTTGCCTCAGTCTCTGAACGTATTCTATTCTTCCATTCTGCATTCCCTCCTGCAGTTGTTTTCTATTTGTTTCATGACTTTCTCTTGTTTTTTCATTAGTTTTACAGGAATCTGCATTCAGACCGCTTCCAGCACACTGTTGCCCCACAATTACCCAAACTCCTTTTGCAGTGATTCTTTGTTCTCGTTAGGCTTACCAAACGCCGGCGGGGGAAATCTATTTCCTGGCAGGATGCGTGCCGCGGGGGACGGCTGTGCGCGCTGCACCCGCCGTCGCCAGGATGTGACGCTCCGCGTTACCCTGGCAACGGGACCCAAACAGCCCCGTTGCCAGAGTAACGCGGAGCGTCACATCCTGGCGACGGCGGGTGCAGCGCGCACAGCCGTCCCCCGCGGCACGCATCCTGCCAGGAAATAGATTTCCCCCGCCGGCGTTTGGTAAGCCTAGTTCTCGTCCACTTTCAAATCGCTAATCCTTTCTAAAGTAGACTTGTTTGTGTGGGTATTTAAGTGCTGCCCTCCCCTGTTTCTGCCCCTCTCTCTTTAGGTTGACGCTTCCTCCCTGGTCTGTTTTCTTTTCCCCTCCTTCTCCAAAGACAAAAGAGGGTGTGTCCTCCTCCTCAGGCAAACTTTTAAAAAGTCAGGGAGAGCATAAGAAGGAACCAGTAAATATAAAAGACTAGGGGATTCCCTGCTCCCAAATGTGTCAGTCTTGCATGTGTGGGTCTGGATTTCACCCTCCCTTCCCTTTCTTTGTGCAGAATCAGGGAGGGAGGGAGGGTCTGGCAGCCAGCTAGCTCATGAAATGCCGGTTTTGCTTGTAGATGCAGAATGCATACAGAATACACAAATAAATAAACCGGAGGGTGGAAAACCCAGTGCAGAGGGAATGTGTGCGAATGCAAAGGCTGGACTCCTCGGATTCTCTGGAGCAAACTGTCAGTGCAGAAAGGGCCAAAGGGCATTTCGAAAATTTCAGAAACCAACGTAGGCTCATAATTATGAGACTTGTAAAATTCCTTAACACCAAGAAACCTTGGAAAGACATGAGCTTTTAAAAGTACGATGGGCCACATTTTTGGGTCCCGATGAACAGGGTGTTGAATGTTTGGTCCTCTGGATCGCTGCTTGCAAGCAAGATGGGAGCCAGATCACCAGTAGGGCAAACATCCTTTTATGAGAGATGAGAAAGCACTAACATTGTTCTTGGGGGGTAGAGGAAAAAAAAGATCACTCCCCTTTCACCTCACTGCGTTGCTGTTTTTTATCATCATTACTCTTCCTGCTTGAAAAGAGCCTGGTTATTACGATTACAAAAGTAGCACACCCAGGCCATCCACAGACAATGCAGCATATTCTCAACATGCACATTGTCCTCCAGGAAATCCGGAATCTTAAGTAGAAGAGAGTACTATGTAACTTTACGGTATTTCCTGAGGTTTTCTGTGTACCATATGTTGGGGGAAGATTTCTATCCCACCCTTCACTACCTGAAGGAGTCTCAGAGCAGCTTACAGACTCCTTTCCCTTCCTCTCCCCACAACAGACACCCTGTGATGTAGGTGGGGCTAAGAGAGCTCTGACAGAAACTGCTCTTGAGAGAACAGCTCTGAGAGAAATGTGACTGACCCAAGGTCACCCAGCTGGCTGCATGCAGAAGAGTGGGGAATCAAACCTGGTTCTTCAGATTAGAGTCACCACTCTTAAACACTACACCGAACTGGGAGACACAGGCAAGCGAGAGGTGGAAATGAAAAAGTCGTCAAGAAAACAGGAGGACAGTTTAGAAAGGTACTGACTGATGTGTACAAGAAGCAGGACTGTGGCATTTTGGTATTGCCTCAAACAAATATTGACGAGTGAGACTATTTTGCTGAGACATTATTTCCTTTCTGATATACTCACAGAAAACAGAAATCAATACAATGTTTGGTTACGCATGAAGTTCTGCATCTTAATTATACTGGAGTGGCCACTTTTTCACAGATGCAGAACCGGTACCCTAAACAGTCCGAAGCAATTAGATTCCCACCCTGGATAGACACACAGATCGGGTAATTACTGGAGCCGTCTTCAGGGATTTTAAACCTGTAAGAGAGAGAAAAAAATAATCATTTATAGCTTTAAAAAAATGCCCCGAATGCAGATACTTCCTAGACTTGCAGATCTGCACTGCCCAAAGCGCTTCAAACCAAGGAATGAGTCTCATCTAGAGGGGGTTGCCAACCTCCAGGAGGGGGAGGGGGAGGAGGAATTCCAAAAATATCCATGACAAAAATAATGAAGAGTCAATAAAGATAAGTTGCAACAATGTTTACTGTAGTAATTTCTGTAGAAAATTTTCTTCTACTATCGTTCACACGCTAACGAATACTGCACAATGAACAATTCGTTTCACAATATTTGCTTTATCTGAGCGTGTAGCAATCCCAATTCTTATCAATTACTACTTATCAACTCTTGAAGAAAACATTCCATGTTGATTTTCTAATAACAGAACCCAAGACCTTGTTGTGTTCTGCTGTGGGGAGGGGAAGGGAAAGGAGTTTGTAAGCCACTCTGAGACTCTGAGTGAAGGGCGTGGTATAAATCCAATCCCCCCCTTCTTCTTGAAGAATTTGGCCCTAAACCTTGAGCATTGCCCCAGACATCAGAAAAGCAATGACATCACTCCTGGGCGACATCATTGTTCCAGCGCCGCCAGGGGGTGGGACTTCTTGGGGGTGGGGCTTCCCCTGTCAGCCAGCTGGGCCATGGCAGATTGGGTGCCCCAAAATCAGGGGATCCCCTGGCCCCACTGGGGGTGGCGGTGGCAACCCTGGTATCAAACCCGCCCTGGCCAAGCGCTGTTTCTTTTGGTGGTCAGTTTCCAAAACAGCAGAGAAAAAGCTGGATATTCCAAAGCATAGTATGTAGATGCCGGAGGATAAGCGATGTATCATAAATAAGGTTGTGGCAACTTCAGGTTGGGAAACTCCTGGAGACTTTGGGGGTCGAGCCTAAGCAGGGCAGGGTTTGGGGAGGGGAAGGACCTCAGCAGGGTACCATGCTGGAGAGCCCACCCTCCAAAGCAGCCATTTCCTCCAGGGGAACTGATCTCTGTAGTCTGGAGATGAGCTGTAATTCTGGAAGATCTCCAGGCATATTATTTTATCATTGCTTTGAGAGCTGTTATATGAACTGTATTGGTTGTATTGGTCTTTGACCGCAATAAACTTATCTAACAAACACATGGGAAACACGGCAAGGTTGAGTAAACAGGGAAAATAACCGTGTTTTTCTCAAAGCTACTAATGGAAACATCTTGAAGATTAAAGAGTCGGAAATAAGAGTTCTAAAGGATGTACCATTTGAAATCAGAAAGAAGCGATTATGAAGACTTAACTACATTTCTACAAAAGAAATCAATAAGCTAAAGATGGCTTTTTCCAGAAGGATTAACATTCAAGTTTTGTTGTTGTTGTTGTTCAGTCGCACAGTCGAGTCCGACTGTTTGCGACCCCATGGACCAGATCACGCCAGGCCTTCCTATCTTCCGCCGTCCTCTGAAGTTTGCTCAATTTCATGTTCGTTGCATCTATGACACTGTCTAACCATCTCATCCTTTGCTGTCCCCGTCTTCTTTGACCTTCAATCCAAGTACAAGGATTTAAAAGAAAAGATTGACTCTGTTGATAAAGCAAAAAGATTTTTGGAGAAAGTTCAAGGACTACCAAAGGAAATAACAGCAGCAGAAGAGAAGAGTAATCAGGAAGAAGGAGAATACAGCTCGCGTGGCTCGAGAAGTTCAGAATCGGATACAACCAGTTCATCTGAAGAAGATTCCTCATCAGAATTGGGAGAAGCTGCACCTAAATTACCCAAAGGCAAAACTGACTTTGATAAAGGTAAAAAGAAGGGAAGAAGAAACAAGAAGAGAATATAACTGAGACATAACCACTTGAAGGGATAATTAGCTTGCTTACTTGCTCAGAACAAATACTTATGTTTTAAGCTTTTACTTATTGTTATAAACTGAAAATATGCTTTACTCATGTATGACTTATTACGAGAAACTTAAATAAGCATTTTTATCAGCAATTTATATAAAATGTATAAAAAAAGAAAAAAGAAAATAACCGTGTTTAAACAAAACAAACAGTTCTGATATACTACTATAACTTCATTATTCAATTAAATCATACACTTTTAATATGCAGTAAGGACCCTAGTGCAACCTAATAATTATAATGCACTGATAACAATTGACATAAAGATATACAAGTGAATATGACAATATAAATCTTGTAGGAACATCCACAGCTACAGATACGAATATGCAGACAGGATTCAATATTGTAGGCTGTCTTGCTTCAGAAAATCCCACCCACCCCCACCTGGAGGTTGGCAAACCATGTGGGATTGCCACGCCGACTCCCCATCGCACCTCCCTTTTGGAATCACTTTGGGAAGGGCACGAAGACTTACAGGTCACTCGAGAAGCTGCTGTTGTCCTCCCACAACCAAGGCCCACGGGCTGTGCTGCGGAACAAGCCGATCCAGAAAGCGTTATAGGCCTGTGCTGACTCCAGCATGAAAGAGGGGGGGGGGGGGGGGGGGAGAGAACCAAGGAAGGGCCCGAATCAGTGTGCGTTTTGGGGGGAAAGCACAAGTGTCAGGAGTTGTTCCGTAGAAAAAGAGGTGCAGGAGCTCATTAGCATAACTCATTAACATAACTTATTTGCATATGCCACACCCGCTGACATCACTGGAAGTGTGTCAGAAGGAAACACCCACTGCTCAGGCTCCACTGGACTGTTTTGGATTGCTAGCTATTGCGGGGGGGGGGGGATGTGCAGATCGTTGTGCTCCTCATGGCTGCTGGGAGCAGGGGGCGGGGCTTGTTGGATGTGCCCACCCCCTGGGCTCTTTACTGCTGGAGTTCCACTCCTGCACACTCCTGCAGGAAATGACCCCTGACGAGTGTCAAAGAGAAGAACACACAGACACACACAAAAAGCGCGTTACTGTGTTAATGAATGTCTCGGATAAAAGATCATGGCTGTTTGAGAGCCAGTCTGGTGTAGTGTTTAAGTGTGCAGACTCTGATCTGGGAGAACCGGGTTTGAGTCCCCACTCCTCCACTTGCAGCCACTGGATGACCTTGGGCAAGCCTGTCAGAGGTGTCCTTGAAAAAGAGCAGTTTCTGTCAAGAGCTCTCACACCCCCACCTCCTTCACAAGGTGTCTGTTGTGGGGAGGGGAGGGGAAAGGAGTTTGTAAGCCGCTCTGAGACTCTGAGTGAAGGGAGGGGGTATAAATCCAATCTCTTCCCTCCTCCTCCTCCTCCTCCTCCTTGCAGAGATTATTGAGAAGGAGGTGGCAAGGATAGGGTTGCCTTGCCAACTCCAGGTTGGGAAATTCCTGGAGATTTAGGGGAATGGAGCTTGGGAAGGACCTCAGCATGGTATCATGCCCTGATGCCCACCCTCCAAAGCCGCCATTTCCTCCAAGGGAGCTGTTATCTGTAGCCGGGAAACCAGTGGTGATTCTGGGAGCTCCCCCAAGCCCCTCCGGAAGGGTGTTAACTCCAGATCTGTCAGCAGCACACTTATTGATGTGTGTCTTTTCATTTGTTGAGAAAGGAGAGCCGCAAGGGGGTTAGACAAAACTGCTGGGAAATAGGTATACCCAAGGCTTTTTTTGTAGAAAAAGCCCAGCAGGAACTCCTTAGCATAATAGGCCCAACAGCAGAAACTCATTAGCATAGCAGGCCACACCTCATGCCTTCCCTTGGCTTGCCTGGGCTCCCCGCAGCCATGGGGCACCCAGGCAAGCCCCCCCCCCTTGAAGGGAAGGGAAAGCAGGTTAAACTGCCTTCCCTCGGCTTCCCCGGGCGCCCCGCAGCTGCAGGGAGCCCGGGCAAGCTGGCCCTTGGACAGGCCGGGGAAGACACAGGGAGGAATTTAAATGCCTCCCCGATCCTTCCAGGCCCCCCCCCCCGGCCTGCCCACCTGGGAGTTGCTGGGGGGGGGACGCTCTCCAGGCGTCCACTCTGTAGCCACGCACGCAGAGGTTTTGGCTGTAGTGGGCGTGGCCAACTCTAAAGCCAGCTGGAACTCCGTTCCTGTGCGTTCCTGCCCAAGAATAGCCCTGGGTATATCAAAGGAGAGCAGCCTTGATAAATTTAGTATGCAAAATGGTTTGCCTGACCAAGGGAGCTGTGACTCTTGAAAGTTCATACCCCTAAAACCTTGTTGGCCTCTAAGACACTACTGGATTCGAATCTAGCTGCCCTGCTGCAGACCAACACGGCTACCCTACGAAACGGTGCCCAGATCATGAAAAAGAAGAAGAAAGGCAGTCTTTACCAGCTCTTCCTTACTCTCTATTTTAAGAAGCCTGGAGTTGAGTGTCGCACACTGCGCTTTGCTTTCTTCCCAGGAGTTCCACTTGGTCGAGAAGTAGTAGCAGTTCTCCCCTCGCTGTAGCCACCTCTCAGGGCAAGGGCTGCACCGATGGCCTTGGAAACAGAAAAGACCCTGAGGAAACCAAGCCACAGAAATAGGGATGCCAATGTCCAGGTGGGACCTGGGGATCCTCCCTAGCCACCAGGAGGGGATCCAGGTGGGGAAACTGCTGGAGATTTGGGGATGGAGCCTGGGGAGGACAGGGACTTCAGTGGGGTGTAATACCATACAGCCCACCAGGCCTGTAGCCACAGCGGGGCATTTAGGGGCAGTGCCCCTCACTTGGGGGTCATGCCCCCCAACTCCCACTACCCCTGCCCTTAATCTGCCAGCCACACTCATTTGCTTTGGCTGATACAGGAGAAGGAGAGCCAGCCGGTGCAATACTCGGCAAGTAGGCACTCTTGGCTGCTCTCCTTCTCCTGTAGTGGCCAAGGTGAACGAGTAAGGCTGGCAGGTAAGGAAAGACCCTTTTCTTTTTTGCCTGCCTGCCTGCTGATGGGATCTATCTCTCTGCCCCTTCCTCTGCCCCCCCCCCCAGATTTCCCACCGCCCAAAATTTTCTGGCTACTCCCCTGCAGCCCACCCTCCAAAGCACCCATTTTCTCCAGGGGATCTTATCTCTTTAGTCTGGTGATGAGCTGTTAATTCCAGGGGATCCCCAGGCCCCACCTGGAGGATGGCATCCAAGGTGATCTGCCATTGCCTGCCTATGTGCGGCAACCCTGGACCTCCTTGGTGGTCTCCTATCCAAGTACTAGCTTCTGAGACCTGACAAGATTGGGCTGGCCTGGGCCATTAGAATTGCCAACTTTGCATTGGGAAATTCCTGGAGATATTGGGGGTGGAGTCTATGGAAGGCAGACTTTGCAGAGGAGATGGGCCTCATCCAGGTATAATGCCATAGAGTCTGCCCTCCAAAGCAGTCATGTTCTTTAGGGGGACTGATCTTGTATGGAGATCAGCCGTAATACCAGGAGATCTCCAGTAGGGTTGTCAGGTCTGTGTTGGAAAACACCTGGAGACTTTGGGGGTGTATCCAGGAGAGGGTGGGGTTTAGGGGGGGAGGGGCCTCACCAGGTTACAATGCCATATAGTCCACCCTCGAAAGCAGCCATTTCCTCCAGGGGAGCTGATCTTGGTCGACTGGAGATCAGTTGTAATAGTGGGAGTTCTCCAGGTGCCACCTGGAGGTTGGCAACCCTAATCTTCTGGCTGACAACCTTATGGAACACTCAAGTCATGGCTAGGAGAAATCTTGTCTGTTCCTAGCATGAACTGATTTCAGAACTTCCTAATTGGCCAGCAGGCCACGGTCAGATGTGCCTTTAGATCTGACACAGCTTCGAATGCCTGACGCATCTAAAGGGCACAATCAGACATCAACATCTGGGAAAGGTGCTGCAGCCGTTAGCACCCCATGCTGCCCTGCCATGGAAGCGGAGTTAAAAGACACCATGGAAAGTCTGGTCCTAATGCTTGCCAACAGGCTACGACGGACTTTTCCCCATCTGAGCGCTCAAGCACGCTCTCATGCTGTCGGGATGGTCTGTTCATTCCATCCTGATTTGGTGCCATTTCCCCCCCTCGCTTAGCAGTATGCGCATAACCGCAGACTCCAAGAGGAACCCTTAGTGTAGAGGTGCAATTCCTCGTTTATGTGCATGGGAAACAAAAGGCCAAAAAAACTCTGCCTCCAAAAACAGGATTGAGTAGATGCGGGGAAAATCGCACGAAGCTGCGGGGCAAAATGCGGCCGCGCAGAAGCTTGTGTGAAATTGACACGTACCATCGGGGCAGAAGGGAGGCGTGAACGCGGAGCAGCGTTTGTGGGAAATTGCCCAGAATGTCTTGGCTAAAGACATCCTTGACTTCATGACAGATGAAAGATAAGCTCTTTCTCCAGATACAGAGGCAGACACACGTCACGTGTGACAAGGAATGCATATACACCTTGCATGGACATGACTGTGTCTGTTTGTAAGAAAGGGCTGGCACACATTCGGCTTGCAGCTGGGGACCAATGCCTGGATAGATGCAGGGTTCATATCACATGACTGAACACAACATGAGAATTACTGAATCTCTCCTTATATATAATTGAATACTGGGTGCCAAAGTTCTAAAATGCACTCCTTTAGTGTATGGACGCTTGAACTGTCAGTCAGAAGATGCTGGCTGGGTTGACTGGGTGCTTTGTGCAGTCCCGCCCAGTGTTTCAAGGTCTTTTGCATATGGAAGCTGATTGGACTTTACTGCATTCCACACCTCAAACTCACCCCCCTCCCCGCAAGGCAGTTGGAATGTCAGTTGCATATGGAACCTTCAAGGTCTTTTGCATATGGAAGCTGACTGGACTTCACTCCATTCCACACCTCATACTCCCCCCCAAGGCAGTTGGAATGTCTGGTGGTGTGCAGGTCCCAGGATCATGTTTTAAAAGCTGCCTGGGGGATTATGGACCATTCACACACTTTCAACCTTAACATACCTCATAGGGGGAGAGGAGAATGATGACAGCTGCTTTCCCGATCAGTTCCCCTGGAGAAAATGGATGCTTTGGAGGGTAGACCCTATGACATTATACCTGCTGAGTCCTTCTGCCCCCCCTCCAATGCTGCCCTCTACAGAATCCACCCCCCAAACCTCCAGGTATTTCCCTCCTTAGAGCTGGCAACCCTACATTCCCCTCAGTGCCTGTTGGTAGGCAACTAAGCTTGGTCCTGTCACCTACTTTGGCCTTTGGGAGAAAACACATTGGGGCCAGTCCTGATAGGGTTGCCAACTCCAGATGGGAAATTCCTGGAGATTTGAGGGATGGAGCCTGAAGAGGGTGAGGTTTGAGGAGGGGTGGGACCTCAGACAGGTACACTGCCATAGACTCCACCCTCCAAACCAGTCAGTCCCACATAGGGAACCATTGTTGCCAATCTCCAGGTGAGGGCTGGGGAGCACTCAGAATTACAACTGCTCTGCAGAAGGGAGGGCAGAAGTCAGCTGAAGTCAAAGGGGCAGATAATGGTAGGTTGATGGTTAGCTGGGAAGGAGATGGGGTTGCCAACTACATGCTGACAAATTCCTGGGGATTTGAGGGGTGGAGCCTGGAGAGGGTGGGGTTTGCAGAGGGGTGGGACCTCAGACAGGTAGAATGCCATAGACTACACCCTCCAAACCAGCCACTTTGTCCTGGGTAACAATTGCTGCCAATCTCCAGGTGAGGGCTACAGATCACTCACAATTACAACTGCTCTTCAGGTAGCAGAGATCAGTTCCTCTGGAGAAAACAGTGGACTCTGTCATTATACCCAGCAAATTGACACTGTTTGCCCAAAGCCAGAGCACTCCCCCAGAGCCTCTTTCTAGATCTCGTTGTATTGCTTTCACAACGGGCTTTACTGCTAGTGCACATATAAAACACAAGCGTGCACCGTACACGGTCTGTGAGCGTTTTTTCAGAACAGGGCTTACCAATGCTCCCTCTAAGCTGGGGAGTCTTGTGAGCAAAAATTGTGCTTTGTGAGCCGCTGGCATTAAACTTGTGAGCGAGTGAGTCAGCTACTGCATAAATTAGTTTGCTCTGGAGCCCCTCCTTCGTGAGCGGAGACAAAAACACGTGAGCCGGAGCTGTGAGCTGCTCATGACTCCTCTTTTCTGGGTTTGTACAGTTTCCTATAACAAACACACCCGAAGAAGGAATAGACTGGTGCCTCCTTAGCAAAGTGGAGCTCTTTCATTGTGATGGTTTGATCACTGCCCTGAAGTGGATTTTTCCTTTGTGGCAACGCCCCCTTAATGGAGATTTTGCTTCTTGAAAAATGAAGCCAACTCATACAGTTTCCAATTTTATCCTGTAGAGAGCAGTGATGATCAAATTTCGGTTCCCAAAGCATATAATGAGAACTGGCCAAAATAGATAGCACTTTCTTATGTATTACCTCCATTGTTTGACAACTGCTGCAGGGTCTCTGAAAGATTTAGATTCCGGTCCTGGAGAACGCTCAGCGTTGTGAATAGATTTTCTACCATCTCCCTTTGCTGGGTCAGGTTTTCATTTTGTCTTCTCATTACTTGGTACACCTGCAAAACTTCAGTCCATAACAAAATTACAGAGAAGAAGAAGAAAGGAGGAGGAGATTGGATTTATACCCCGCCCTTCACTACCCGAAGGAGTCTCAGAGCAGTTTACAAACTCCTTTCCCTTCCCCTCCCCACAACAGACACCCTGTGAGGTAGAAGAAGAAGAAGAGATTGGATTTAAACCCCGCCCTTCACTACCTGAAGGAGTCTCAGAGCAGCTTACAAACTCCTTTCCCTCCCCCTCCCCACAACAGACACAGAGGTAGGCGGGGCTGAGAGAGCTCTTGCGAGGACTGCCCCTGAAGGAACAGCTCTGAGTGAACTTGTGACTGACCCAAGGTCACACCAGCAGCTGCATGTGGAGGAGTGGGGAATCAAACCCAGTTCTCCCAGATTAGAGTTCACGCTCCTAACCACTACATCAAACTGGCTCTCAGGCATACCTGAAATTAACTGAGTTCCATGCTAAGTTACCATAGGGTTAATGGCCTTTTATATCTGTGCATAACTTGTACATATGAGAACATAATCATGTGTTCTCATCCTTAGCTACTTTGAGCAGTAGGGTTGCCGCTTTCCAGGAGAGACCTGGAGAACACCCCAAATTACAACTGATCTCCAGGCAACAGAGATCAGTTCACCTGGAGGAAATGGGAGGCTGGACTCTGTGGCCCTCCACCCCACTGAGTTTCCTTTCCTCCCCAAACCCTGCCCTCTCCACCCCCAGATCTCCAGGAATTTCTCAACCCAGAGTTGGCAACCTTATATACCTGGAGAGGAAAGCTCTAATGTTCTAAATTAAATGCTCCCTCAAAGCTGTAGAGTCCAGTGAGCAAAAATTCTGCTTTGTGAGTTGCTGGCATTAAAGTTGTGAGCGAGTGAATTGGCCGCTGCATAAATCAGTGTGCTCTGGAGCCCTCCTTTCTGGGCTAAGTCAGAAATGTGTGAGCTGGAGGCTAAAAAACTGTGAGCTGGCTCACACTGACTCAGCTTAGAGGGAACACTGCGTCCTCATATCAGAAGAGCATGGTCCAGCCTGCTGAGTCCACCTCGTTCAGCATTCTTTTCCTAACAGTGGCCATTCGGCTGCTTCCAGGAAATGAACAAACACAGCAGGAACGCGATGGCTATTTGCCCTGCAGGCACTGGCATTCGGCAGAACCTGCTCCCCCAAATTGTTCTGTCCCTTTAATACAAGCTTTTAATACGAGCCAGTTTGGTGTCGTGGTTAAGTGTGCGGACTCTAATCTGGGAGAGGGTTTGATTCCCCACTCCTCCACTTGCACCTGGCTGGATGACCTTGGGCAGCTCTGATAAGAGCTGTTCTTGAAAAAAAGAGCAGTTTCTGTCAGAGCTCTCTCAGCCCCGCCTACCTCGCAGGGTGTCTGTTGTGGGGAGGGGAAGGGAAAGGAGTTCATAAGCCCCTCTGAGACTCCTTTGGGTAGTGAAGGGTGGGGTGTAAATCCAATCTCCTCCTCCTCCTCCTCCTCTTCTTCTTCATCTTCTTCATCATCTTCATCATCATCATCATGTGTGGAAATGGGCCACTGAAACATTTCACGGCACGGAAGTAAGTAAATAACATCTGGGGTGCTTTTTTTTTTTTTTTAAATTGAGCATCTATTAAAATTACAAGATTTTTTTTAATCTGTGAAGGTGGCCACCCAGACCTGGAGATTTTAGGGGTGGAGGTTGGAGAGGGCAGGGTTTGGGGAGGGGAGGACCTCAGTAGGGTACAATGCCATTAGGGTTGCCAGACCCCAGGGTCATGAGGGGACACACCCTGTCCTTCGAATACAGCCTTCATGTGTGGAAATGGGCAGCCAGACTTTTCATGGCATGAAGGTAAATAGCACCACAATTAAACCTCTATTAAAGGAATGGGATGCTTTTCTGCAGGCCTGTTGGCAACCCAGCGATAGGGTTGCCAGCAGCGTTCCCTCTAAGCTGAGTCAGTGTGAGCCAGCTCATGGTTTTTTAGTCTCTGGCTCCCACCTTTTTGTCTTAGCTCAGGAAGGATGGCTCCAGAGCAGACTAATTGATGCAGTAGCCAAATCGCTTGCACACAACTTTAATGCCAGTAGCTCACAAAGCAGGAGCTGCGGTGGCTCAAGTGGTTAAGACACTGAACTGAAGGCTGGAAGGTTGGCTGTTCGGCAGTTCGAGACCCGAGTGTGCCGCGTGACGGAGTGAGCTCCCGTCTCTGGTTCCAACTCCTGCCAGCCTAGCAGTTCGAAAGTAAGAAATTGCAAGTAGATAAATAGGTACTGCTTCGGTGGGGAGGTAACAGCGTTCCGAGAGCCTTGGCGTCTAGTCATGCCAGTCCCATGACCACAGAGAAGTCTTCAGACAGCGCTGGCTCTTCGGCTTAAAAACGGAGATCAGCACCGCAGCCCTAGAGTCAGAGTTGACTGGCTTCTGAGTAAGGGAAACCTTTACCTAACCTAGCTCACAAAGCAGAATTTTTGCTCACAAGACTCCACAGCTTAGAGGGAGCATTGGTTGCCAGCTCTGGGTTGGGAAATACCTGGAGGTTTTGGGGGTGGAGCCTGAAGAAGGCAGGGGTTGGGCAAGGGAGGGACTTCAATGGGGTATAATGCCGTAGCGTCCACCTACTAAGGCGGCCATTTTCTCCAGAGGAACTGATCCCGGTTGCCTAGAAATCAGTTGCAATAACGAGAGATCTCCAGACACCACCTGGAGACTGCAAACCAAGGAGAGAGATCACAGGAAGGAAGTTGAAAAGTAAACAAACAACCGTGATATATAATGCCACAAAAGTCTCCAAAAACTAGAAATTTATTTTTCCAATATTCAGTTTACTGGATGCAATTCAAACGCCGTCAATACCAACAGATCATGGATATCATCTCGTTTCGTGTACAACTTTGTCAAAGTGAATAGCGTTGATATACCTACTTTTAATTACAAAAGTATATAATTCTATTATTAGTATTATTGTTAGCAAGAAAATAGCACAAGGCTGTACAAACAACTGACTATTATATAACATACAAGATTAATCCATTTAACAAACTCACTCAGTGTAATGTCAGTTCATTCTTCCTATTTACTTATAGATATCTAAAGCACATAATTGCTGCCAGCAGGCTGTTTGTCAGACCTGCATCTTAAAGGGACAAAACCTACGTATTTGCAAAGGCAGTAATGCCCTGAGGAGTAGCAAAACCAACTGAGGTTTTACAAACTTTTACCCTTTCAAACACATCAGTAATTGCTGCCATCCTAATAGTCAACCCATTTGACAAAACAACTATTTTACCAGGGACAACAAAGAAGACAGAGGGAGAAGAACACCATTTAAGAAACCACCATAATTTTACACACGAGAAACCCAATGCTTTGCACACATTACAATAAGACTTATCAAAAGGAAGAAACACCAATAGAAAACCAACATGATCTTACATAAGAAAGAATATATGCTGCACAAAATATTATACAAGCACAAAACCTCACAAAACACAGCTAAGGTCCAATTCAGCATTAAGCCCATTAGGTGTAAGAGAATTAAGTTTATGAATCCATCTGGCCTTCTCCTGAAGGAGAACTTGCCGTACATTGGCAGTTTTATCCTCCACAAAGAGTACAGTATATCTAAAGTCATCACATTTATGTTTCTTAGTATTGAAATGTTCAGTTAAAGCAGCCTCAGAAATATTATTTCTAATATGTGAGGTATGTTCCAGGATGCGCACCTTGGGTGTCTGTCCAATATAAATTAATTCACAGGCACATAAAATAAGATACACCACATTTCCACTTGAACATGTTGAGAACTTGGACAGTTTTATCTGATGTTGACCGGAAAGATTAACCACATTCCCCTCCATTGCTAAATGACAAGTTTTACAGCAAAAGCATTTATGGTGCCCGGGGGGGAAGTGTCCTATCATTTACATGACCCCTAAAGACGGAACGTACCACTAAATCCTTTATGCTTTTAGTTTTTCTGAAGCCAACTATAGGGGAATTGCCACACCCTGGGATATCTTCCACCAGATTCCATAGCCTTTGTTCAGTCCTTTTTATGGGCATAGCCAAGGGTGTATATTGCAAAGCCCAATTAATACTCTCATTTTTTATTCTCATTTTGTTGGTTAGCAAAATGTATCTAGAAAAAACTTCTCCTGTGTGAGCGACTGGCATTGAAGTTGTGACCGAGCGATTTGGCTGCTGCATAAATTAGTTTTCCTCTGGAAACATTCTTCCTGAGCTAAACCGGAGGCTAAAAAAACGGTGAGCTAGCTCACACTAAGTCAGCATAGAGGAAATACTCTGGCAACCCTAGCTGGGGCATGAGGAGGGCGGGGTTTGGGAAGGGGGGGACTTCAGTGGGGTGAAATGCCTTAAAGTCCACCTTCCCCAGCGGTCATTTTCTCCAGGAGAACGGAACTCTGTCACTTGATCAGTTGTAATCCCAGGAGATCTCCAGGCACCATATGGAGATTGGCAAGCCTACCCAATGAGCTTGTAGGGGTAGTATGAATGTACTGCATGGTGCATTTGGGATGTTGAAGAAGAAGAGGAGGAGGAGGAGGAGGAGATTGGATGTATACCCCGCCCTTCCCTCTGAGTCTCAGAGGGGCTTACAAACTCCTTTCCCTTCCCCTCCCCACAACAGACACCCTGTGGGGTTGGTGGGGCTGAGAGAGCTCTGAAAGAACTGTCCTTGAGAGAACAACTCTGACAGAACTACGGCTTGCCCAAGGTCATCCAGCCAGGTGCAAGTGGAGGAGTGGGGAATCAAACCCAGCTCTCCCAGATTAGAGTCCGCGCACTTAGCCACTGCACCAGTCTCAAGACAGGCCAAATGCCTCCATCTGCTGCTTACCTTTGAATCCCAGAGCTCCAGAAGCTCCCAGTAGGGCCAGGCAGAAGATGCCAAGAGTCACAGTCGCCAGTCGCCAGTGGTGGGAGACCGGTGGAGAGGCTGAAGGGTGAACAAAGGGAAACAACAGAGAGAAATAAATACGTTCTTGTTTTTACATCACCAGTTTCCACATCACAAGATTTCAGCCTGATGGCGGTTCCCCCAACATACTGCTCTGAACTTCAGCTGCTGTCTCCAAGTGCCAGGAGAATTTCATAAAAATCGTCACAATTTAGGAATTAAATTAATATGAATTGACTTTTAAGGGCTGAAGAAATGGATCTAGGATGTTTTCCTGAGCTAGAAGACCAGACCCTGGTCCACCTGCCACTGGAAATATGTACATTGGTAAGTGCCGTAAAGTTGCAACTGATTTATGGAAACCCCAGCAAGGGGCTTTCAAGGTGAGTGAGAAGCAGAGGTGGTTGGCCTTCCTCTGCAGAGCCTTCCTTGGTGGTCTCCCATCCAAGACTTATGGTGACCCCAGCAGAGGCTTTCAAGGCAAGTGAGAAGCAGAGATGGTTGGCCATTGCCTTTCTTTGAAGAGCCTTCCTTGGTGGTCTCCCATCCAAGACTTATGGTGACCCCAGCAGGGGCTTCCAAGGCAAGTGAGAAGCAGAGGTGGCTGGCCATTGCCTTCCTCTGCAGAGTCTTCCTTGGTGGTCTCCCTTCCAACTACTGATCCTGCTTAGTGTTCAAGATCTGATGAGACTGGTCTTTTCCCCGTGCAATTGGAAATAAGTGCCTCACTATGTCTAATAGCTGCTAGACCTGGCCTCTGTCCACCCCACTATCCGTTGCAACCAGCTGATATGGAGCTTTCAGTCTTTTTAAAATATAAAGGGATGGGAACAGTGTTCCCTCTAAGCTGTGCTAGGGGGCGATGGTGCACAACATTTTAGCTAGCTGCTCAGACAGTTTAGCTTCCAACTCAGGAGCATTTTCCTCTTTATTGGAAACAATGGAGGATGGGGGCACCGCATTGTCGGGCCCATAGAATTGGACCCTGTGGTCCAATCTTTTTAAACTTGGGGAGAGGGTTGAGGAGAGGCACAAGTAGCTATGCTGCAAATTTGGTGCTGCTACCTTAAAAAACATCCCCCAGAACCTCAGATACCCACAGATCAATTCTCCATTATAGCCTATGGGGCCCATTGACTATAATGATCCCCATAGGTTATAATGGAGGAGGAAAAATAGATTATTATTTTTTGCATACACACATTATGCTTTTCAGTATCATTTGTAAGATACCTTGAGTCACAGTAAAAGTGGGATATAAATATTTGAAGAAATAAGTAGTTTGGGCAGGTTTATAACGTTTAAACAACTTCCTGTTTGTTATGTTAGGCAGGGTTCTGACAGGGATCGTTCCACCTCTGTTATACTTGACCTGTAAATTTATCATATTTCACTTTAAAAAACCCCAAAACAAAGTAGACTGCAAAAGTCCCCCCCCCGTAAAATAACTTCATGTGTATTTTTTCCTGTTAAAATTAGCTCATATACTCTTTTTACTCTCAAGAACAGCTTACTCTCAAGAACAGCTATTGATTAGCAAATTTAAACCCGCACTTGTATCATAATGTAGATTTGTGAGAAAGGCAGCAAAAGTAGGATGCTGCCATTGCTTGGATCCAGGGGTCATTTTGTAGAAAAAGAGGTGCAGGAGCTCATTAGCATAACTTATTTGCATATGCCACACCCCCTGACATCACCGGAAGTGCGTCAGAAGGCAACACCCACCGCTCAGGCTCCACTGGACTGTTTTGGATTGCTAGTTATTGGGGGGGGGGAAATGTGTAGATCTGTCCTCACAGAGGAGGGAGAGCTTGTACCTGAATAAAACTTGGTCTTAAAGGTGCCATTCGACTGTTTTGGACCGGGGGGCAGGGCTTTGCAGCTTACCTGGCTGCTTCTTGCTCTGACTGAGGGCTGCTGGGAGCAGGGGGTGGGGCTTGTAGCATGTGCCTGCCCCCTGGGCTCTTTACTGCCGGAGCTCCGCTCCTGTGCGCTCCTGCAGGAAATGACCCCTGCCTGAGACCCAAAACAAAGTCCAACAATGGACTCCCCCCACCCCCAGCACTATCCATTCCCATTCTGTAAATGGGAAAAAATATTAGTTATCAGGGAGGGTTAAGATGATGAACCGCAGACCAGAAGGTCTGTAGTTCAGCAGTTTGAGACCCGAGTGCCGCATGACGGAGTGAGCTCCCGTCTCTGGCCCCAGCTCCTGCCAACCTAGCAGTTCGAAAGCAAGGAATTGCAGGTAGATAAACAGGTACAGCTTCGGTGGGAAGGTAACACCGTTCCGTGCGCCTCGGTGTCTAATCATGCCGGCCACATGACCATGGAAATGTCTTCGGACAGCGCTGGCTCTTCGTCTTGGAAATGGAGATGAGCACTGCCCTCTAGAGTTGGATTCGACTGGCTTCCGAGCAAGGGAGACCTTGACCTTCACTACTTGCGAGAACACGGCTGCCAGCCTGGGAGGGAGCATTGCTCAGCATTTGTCCTCCTTCCTGGTTCAACTGTTTTCTTACTGATTTAATTACAGACTTTAGATCCCACCTTTCTGCCCAACTGGAGCCAGCAAGTTGGCTATTCAAAGCTTTGGCAAGGCCCAAGAAAGAAAACATTTTTCTGGTTGAGTTGAAGGGCTCCTGGCCAATAGCTTGCTCCTTAAAGCTTTGAGCGAGCCCCCCCCCCATGGATCCCAGATCAGCTCTGCAACCAACTAATTTTTAAAGAAACCGTCTTTTTTTTGGGGGGGGGGTGTTGTATGTACGCTTCTTTGGGTCCCTTGTCAGGACGGAAGCCACATTATAAACATCAGGATAAGCAACTAGCTTTCCCGTTGTTATTTTGAAGGTGATGTCACTAGGCCATGGCTGGTTTCTGGCAGAATGAGCAGAGTTGCCAGCCTCCAGGCAGGGCCTGGAGATCTCCAGGAATTTCAACTGATCTCCACACTACAGAGCCCCGTCCCCCTGGAGAAAAGGGCCACTTTGGAAGGTGGGATTTATGGCATTGTTATTTATTTATTTACTATTTATTAATTTAATTTCTAGATCGCCCTCCCCCGAAGGGTTCAGGGTGGCGTACAGCATACTTAAAACATATACCCCCTCCCCAAACCCTGCCTTCCGTGGGCTCCACCCCCCAAAATCTCCTGGAATTTCCCAAACTGGAGTTAGCAACCCCATGAACCAACTCTCAGTTCTTTGTGAAGAGAACGACCCTCCCTGGCCCTCCCTGCCAGAATGCTGTTCAGGGGGTGCTACCCTCCAGGTGGTGGCTGGAGGTCTCCTGGGATTACAACGGATCTCCAGGCGACAAGAGTTCCGTTCCCCTGGAGAAAATGGCTGCTTTGGTAGGAGGACTCCATGGCACTGGACCCAACTGAAGTCCCTCCCCTCCCCAAACCCCACCCTCCTCAGACTCCATCCCCAACATCTCCAGGTATTCCCCAACCCAGAGAAGGCACCCCTAGCTGGCACCTTCTTTAAGGGGACTATACACAACGGTCACCTTGACATTGCTGCTCTTACAGCAAGGCAGTTAACTCTTACCCGATCAATTAGATCACTGCGAGCAACTCTGTGCTGTTCACAGAAAGCAGAGATCTCTTTCTTTAGCAAATTAAGAAGGAGGAGGAGGAGGAGAAGAGATTGGATTTATACCCCACCCTTCACTCGGAGTCTCAGAGCGGCTTACAAGCTCCTTTCCCTTCTCCTCCCCACAACAGACAACCTGTGAAGTAGGCGAGGCTGAGAGAGCTCTTTCCAGAACTGTCCTTGAGAGAACTATGGCTTGCCCAAGGTCATCCAGCCAGGTGCAAGTGGAGGAGTGGGGAATCAAACCTGGTTCTCCCAGATTAGAGTCCGCGCACTTAACCATTACATCAAACTGTACATCGCCACCCTATACACAGAAGACAAAACATACCACAAACGCTGCTTGGCATCCATCTCAAATAGTTTCTGTGGGGCGACATGCCGACAGAGTATAATCTGATATTGGCTAGTTACTCCTGATAATTACAACCCATCCCCCTATCTACTTAATCGCCGTGCCTCTTCTCTCCTGTGTCCTGATCTGCCTCAGAAACGCCTCCGCACGAGTCCAGATGGGTGTGTGGGGATTGTCCGACCCATCCCTGTACCTTTGCCGCCGGCTCCCTGTTTCTCCTCCTGCTTCTTGGTCTGCTTCAGAGTCATGAACTTCAGGTCAGCGTAAGTCACTTCTTCGGCCATTTTGGGCTAGGCTTCTAGCTGAACCAGAGCCGTGCAGAGGAGAGGACAAGCAGCCAGAGGCTTTATAGTCATCAGGGAATGACGCACAGGCACCGCGGGGATTTGTGACTTCGATGACACACCCTGGTCCCCTAGACCATTGGAGGGGGGGGGGGGAGGCGTTGCTCAGTGCGTGACTGGACTCCCCTGTTTCCTCAAAGCAGGGAGCTATGCCTGGGGACCGTAACAGCACAGGGAGCCTGTGTGCCAATGTGTCAGATCCCAAGTCAGGAGAACAAACCCACGTTCCAAAGAAGTAAGATTTATTTCCAAAGCATGGTTAGTCATGAACATACAGAGATTGTTCAGAATGACGACAATACACAGGGGCAAAGTAAAATAGGAACTTCAAACTTGGTTAACCCAATGGGTACATTTCCCTCGTAAGGGAGCTGATTAGAAAAGGCGTGAAGCAGCCTGAGAATCACAACAGCCAATTTCATAAACACAAGTTGAGTTCACACGGGAAATCTAATTAAGCCCAGGCAACAAGACATAACACTCCGACATCCACCTGCAGGAGAAACTTGGCAGTTACAGAAGCATACCAGAAGAGAATAACAAGAGGAGGGAAGGGAGGACGGGCAGGAATAAGGACGGGATGTGTCCCAGAGAAATGGCAGCTAGCTGACACAATGTGTGCATCAATGTCCCACTTCAGCTTTGCCACCCCCCAAACTGGACTTTAGTAAAGGTAAAGGTTTCCCTTGCTCGAAAGCCAGTCGAATCCAACTCTAGAGGGCAGTGCTGATCTCCGTTTCCAAGCCGAAGAGCCAGCGCTGTCCAAAGACTTCTCCGTGGTCATGTGGCCAGTATGACTTAAACGCCGAGGTGCACGGAATGCTGTTACCTTCCCACCGAAGCGGTACCTATTTATCTACTTGCAAATTCTTGCTTTCGAACTGCTAGGTTGGCAGGAGCTGGGGCCAGAGACGGGAGCTCACTCCGTCACGCGGCACTTGGGTCTCGAACTGCTAAGCTACCGACCTTCCGATCTGCAGCTCAGTGTCTTAACCTTTGAGCCACTGCAGCCCCAAAAACTGGACTATAGCCCCATCACATTTACCACAGCTTTGGGACATTTTCTCTGTGCATGTGTAGAGCGCAGAGGGCCTCAGTTCCCACTCGCCTCCTTCTTGTGTGTGTGAATGAACAGCTAGGCAGGAAGGTGAGGTACTCTGAACGCAGCTGGATTTACTGAAGAGAAAAAGACCTTTATTCGCTATGGCACAGCTTTACAATCTAGAGTACAAGTCGTTAGGGAAAGGGGGTTTCATAACACTGAGGAGTGTTGCAGATGTAAGAAAAGAAAGTAAAACATTTCCGCTAGTTTAACTTTAGAGGCACAAATGTTACCTCAGCTTCCCTCTAAGCCAGTGGAAGTTGGGAGCTAGAGTCTGACTTCTTTATTCCCTCCCTTGCTCCCCATCCAGTTTGAACGCCTAACTTGAACGAAGAAGAAGAAGAGGAGGAGGAGGAGATTGGATTTATACCCCACCCTTCACTACCCGAAGATGTCTCAGAGAGGCTTACAATCCCTTTCTCTTCCCCTCCCCAGAACAGACACCCTGTGAGGTAGGTGGGGCTGAGAGAGCTCTTCTGAGGACTGCTCTTGAGAGAGAACAGCTCTGAAAGAGCTTGTAACTGACCCAAGGTCACACCGACAGCTGCATGTGGAGGGGTGGGGTTCTCCCACATTAGAGTCCGTGCTCCTAACCACGACACCAAACTGGCTCTCAAGGGCCTGCCCTGAATGCCCTTCACAAGCTGTTCATGTCTTTTAACCCTTCCTGCCCCAGTTGGGTGGAAGTCCCTTACCCAATCCTGAGTTTGGCAACTACCCTTGTGGGACCTTGGCACTTCAAGTCTTCCCAGTGTTATTGCCCTGCTCCTGTGTTTGCCATAGCCATCGAGGACTGCTTCTGAAAGAACTTGCCAGCAGCTGCATGTGGAGGAGTGGGGAAATCAAACCTGGTTCTCCTGGATTAGAGTCCGCGCTCTTAACCACTACACCAAACTGGCTCTCTTAAGCATTCTGTGGCTGTCCTCCCTGCGAAAGAGCATTGCTCCCAGAGCTTGGGGGGGACACCTGGATGTACCTCAAAGCATCTTACACCTCCCACTCGTGACACTGGAATAAACCAATGAACTGATTGGTCAAGGGGATAAAAGAGCAGACCAGCGGTGTGGCCATCCAGTGAGGCACAGTAGCATCCTATGTTTTGTCCCAAGCGTTGCAAGTCCGCACTCCGATGTCTTGTTTCTTCCTTTCCATGTTATATGCCTCTGGCTCGACTGGGAGAAAGGGATACAATGGGTAGGTGACATCGCCCCCCCCCCACTCTGCCTCTTTCAGGATCTAGGTTTCCCTGACCCAGAACCCGCTGGATGGGGGTGCTGGGGCACTGCAGATTGCCACCTCCTCGGCGGTCCCGATTTGTGGTTCCATCGACCGTGTTCTCTACGAACCCTTTCCTGGTAGAACAAAGTTAGGGTCCAGTGGCACCTTTAAGACCAGCAAAGTTTTATTCGAGGTGTGAGCCTTTGTGTACACGCACACTTCGTCAGACGATGAAGTGAAATTACAGATCATAGCTGTAATATATAGGAGTGGTTTGTTAAATTAGCGTGCAAAATAGTGAGGACACGTTTGTTTGTTTTTTTAACAGATCGAAAGAATGACAAGCTTAGTTCCTGGTTATCATCTGTTTCAGTTCAACTGGGGGGGGGGGGACATAGGCAATAAATATGTTAGAACTGGAGATTGATGTGTTGGTATTAAAGGTGCCATTGGACCCTAAGGGTGCGGTCCCACAAGCGAGATAAACCAGGGGGGGGGGAGTGAGGCTATTCCCTCTGGACGAATTTGACCCGCAGTTGCGTGATCACACAGTCCTTTGAAGCTGCAAGGGCAGCCCGCCACAGTGTGATCAGACGCGACTGCAGGGGAGTCGTAGGGGTTGCTGTTTGTTTCTGATGTGCTTAAACGGGGAATTGATGAATCGCATCTCAGCACTGAGGGCTCCCTATGGAGTGTGCGATGGTGCGCATACTGAGAAGGGGAGGGAAACAACACCACTGAGTCGAAATGGCCTGATCAAACCATCCTGACGCCATGAGAGCGTGCTGGAGTGATCAGACAGGGGAAAGTCCGTCCATGGCCCGTACCAAGTCTTTTGCTACCGGACTTTCCCTGGTGTCTTTTTACTCCACTTCTGCAGTGGAGCAAAACGGGTTGCTGACAGGTAAGGGGCGCTTCCCAGATGTTCGTGCCTGATCGTGCCCTTTAAATCTGCCTGGCATTTGCGCCTATGGCCTGGCTAACTGTGTGTGTGATCGCGGCCTAACTTTGTTCTCTTGCTTCAGACCGGCATGGTAACTCACCTTGATCTACTTTCTTGGTAGGTGAGTGTTGTCTGCCAATTAAGTCTTTGATTACTTAGTTATATATAAACAAGAGTTTAGGGTAGGACGGCAAATCAGGCACAACTGAATGCTGGACAGTAATGTAGATCCTTTTGCATAACTCTTGTCCTCTGTTCTGAACCTCAGATTTGCATCTCTCTATTGCAAAACCGTAGGGCTGCGGCAGCTCAGAGGTTAAGATGCTGAGCTGCAGACTGGAAGATCGGTAATTTGGCAGTTCGAGACCTGAGTGCCACGTGATGGAGTGAGCTCCCGTCTCCGGTCCCAGCTTCTGCCAACCTAGCAGTTCGAAAGCAAGAAATTGCAAGTAGATAAAAGAGGTACCGCTTCGGTGGGAAGGTAACAGCGTTCCATGTGCCTTGGTGTTTAGTCAGGTTCCACAGTCAACAACTGAGTACACGCTTCATAGAAAGGTTATACTTTATTGAAGAGCTATAGATGCATTAACAAAGGCACTGTTAAGAATGGTGTCTCCCCTAAAAGCATAATGGGATACAGGGTATTTGTATGCACCCCCCCTTCCTTAGGCCAATTAGCCACATTCCCGTGTGAGGGAGAAAGAGCCCCAGGCCATTAGAGCCAAAGCTGAGAACTGAAAGCGCTCCCACGGTTCCCTAGAACCCCAGACACAACACCCCACCTGCAAGGCCATAGATAAGCAAGCATTACAGAAGCAGAAAAGGAATGCAGCAGTCCTGGCAAGCTAGCACCCCACCCCTAACCCTTATGGCAGCATAGCTGACAATCTGCCCTCTCAAAACCTAGCTTCTCCCGACCATTCCGGGAGGTCTCCCGGTCATTCCCAGTTTGTCCGGGAAGTCGCTATGGAACTTCCGCAACATCCGAGGGGCCTGAATATCCCCTGCTTCCACCCACTCGAGCAGCTGGGGACCAAAGTCCAGCCATTCAACTAGATACAACAGTTTTCCATGTTTAAACTTAGAGTCCAGAATCTTATAGATCTCATAATGTTCCTCGCCCTCAACCAAGATAGGAGGGGGCACCGGCTGTGACGGACGCCAGGGACTTGACCCAGAATCCCGTTTCAGGAGGCTGAAATGAAATACAGAATGAAGGTTTCTCAAGTTTTTAGGTAAATCCAAATCCACAGCCACATCGTTGATCACTCTTTTCACCTTAAAGGGACCAAGGTACTTCCAACCTAATTTCTGGCTAGGTCTTAAGACCTTAATGTTTTTAGTAGACACATACACAGAGTCCCCAGGCTTCAGAGCCCATCCCTCCACCCTTCTCTTGTCAGCCTGAGTCTTGTATGCCTCCTTGGCCATAGTCAAAGTCCTGCAAAGGAGCGGCCATGACCCCTTTAAATGTTGACACCATTGAGCTGCATCCCCCGGCCCCAAGTCATTGGTCCCTTCCAGGAAGGGCACCGGTGGGCTATCGTAGCCATACAAATCTTAGAGATCTCATAATGTAATGGGGATAGTCCAGTCGAGGAATGGCAAGTGTGGTTATAACAGAATTCAGCCAGGGGCAGCAGATCCACCCAATCGTTTTGTTGATAATTGGTGAAGCAATGGAGGTATT